ACTGTCATTGCAGCAGGAGGAGCTTCCCCAGCGACAGCCAGATCTCAATAGCATTTGCCAGGAGATGATTTACATAAGAAAGCTCTGCCTCAGAAAGGCCAGAGCCCATCCAGATTGTATGTTTTAATTCTTAAAGCAGAGTACAGATAGTCATACAGCTCATTAAGATTGCATTCAACGAACCTCCAGAGGCAGCTACTGTTTCCTTGTCTCACCAGAGCACTTACCTCCATGCTAACAGACAGAAATCCTCTCCACCCCTCGTCAGAGGGGTGCTGCAAGGATATAATTATTTTTCAAACCAGTCAAAGCTTTAAGACTCGCTATTCATTTTCACTGTTGTATTTCTGTCCAGAAGATGTGGCTTCCCAAAGCAGTGCCACTTAGCAGAATACCAACGGACTCGTGAGGTGTGTGCACATCAATCCAACGGCCAAGGGCTGGACAGAGCCACCAAAGGCAGCTCACCCTGCCCCACCGCAGACAGGGCACCTGCTCGTGCTGTCACCAGGAGGCAGTTACACAGCTTTTGGCCCAGAGCTGTTCCTTAGGAAACACTAGCCTGAAATACAGCCAAATCTCATTCTTCATTTGAAAGATGGGCAGTTCGGGGGGGAAAAAAAACCCCACTGCTGGCAAGTAGGAGGCTTTCTATAGTGAGAGAAGACAGGCTCTGTTATCAGCCTCTGCAAAATGGGAACAACCTTTAAAGGGGTTTAGCCACTTGCATTGGAAGTGGCATTTGCTGGTGAAAAGTTACCTATGGAAGAGTCTCATACTCTGCCTATTTCTGAGCTGGTTAGTGTGCAGGACATGGGGAAAAACTGTGTCTGAGTGTGGAAACCCTGCCTATTTCAGGGCCCAAATCTACTCCACAGACTTTACAGGCTTTAAAAAAAGCCCAGCATCCATCAGCTCTGGGCAGCTACCTGGTCCTGCTAGGAACCCAAACAAACTGGAGACACTATTCCCACCTTCACCCCACGCACACCTGCAGCCAGTGCCCAGCCCACCCAGGCCAGAAAGCTCAGGCAGCCGCCTGCTCGCCCTCAGCCCACAATAGCAGCCTCAGCTATCAGACATCGTTACTCATTAATCAGAGAAAATTCAACAACAGCAGCGCCTTGAACAGGACCGGCTAGTCCAGGCAGAAACTCTTCTTGTGCAGGAGAGTCGGAAAGAAGTTCCAGTCTCTTACTGAGCATCAAAGCCGGGTATGTTCCGCGAGGGCTGAATCGGCTGGGGGTTACCCCAAACCGTGCCCTGTCCTCGCACCCTACCGAGGAGCGGGAAGGGGCAGCTCCCAGCTCAGGGGTCCTTCTCTTCCCGAGGTTCCCCCCACC